TCCCTGGTTGAATCTGTACATTCGCATAATCTTTATAGTAGATGCTTTCATGTTTCTAGCTTAGGCAATATTTGTGTGAAGAATGCATTTTCTTGGTACTATTTTTTTAGTTTTTGTTGTAGGGCACATGTGCTCACCAGAGAGAGAGAGAGAGAGAGAGAGAGAGAGAGAGAAAGTAAGAAATCACCCCCCAAAGAGGATGGCCATGCCTCAATCCTCAATCTCTTCCCCATCTCTGCATAAAAGCTTTCTCTTGCTCTTTCAGGGTTCTTCCTGCTAAGTCATTTCTCCTCTGCTCTTGGCCCTCTTGTCCAGTCAACTCCACTGTTTTCTGGACTCAGTGCATGAACCATAGCCTGGATTATCTGAAAGCAGAGTGGATTAAAATATGTCCAATAATTTATCAAGTTTACATTGTCTTTGATGGCTAGAGTTGTTAAGAAAACAAAAGAAATATAGCTTCAACATATTTTAAGAATGAAAACTGTCTAAATCATAATATTTGTGTTATAGTTAGTTTTTACTTTTTTGAGAGTTTTTTTTTGCTATAGGATGCGTGCGCTTGCCAGAAAGAAAGAGAGAGACAGAGAGACAGAAAGCGAGAAATCACCCCCAGGGATGGCCACGCTGCAATCCCTTCTCCTCCATTCTCCTCTCGGGATCTTGGGCACGCACACACACACACCCGGCTTGAGTTCAAGTCACCGGGTCCGGGACTTGGACCGCAATCAGCTACATGGGAGTTCAGTGACATAGCCATTATGCTAACTGCTGGTCCTTAGTTACGGTTTTTAAATGGAAGTTTTAGATAGGCCACAACTGGCTCTACTAGGGACTGGATCTTAGAGGTGCTCTGTGAATTGCTTAAACATATTATTACAGTACACAGGGACTCTCAGCACCTTAACCATCATGCCAGCTGCTGATCCAATACCTAAACTTGATTACACTTTTCCACTATTATGAAAAATAGTATAGTTTTCCACTATGAGAAAAATAGTTTACCTTTTATATTTGGACTTATCTAGTAGACCCAACTTTAAGATTCCTTCCTGTGAAATGAGATGAGTATCTTTGCATCTCCAGTGGAGATGCAGTGAGCTTAATAAAATAGTGCATGTGAGAGCTTTCTATAAACTAAACAGAGATATGCAAATACCAGATTTTTTTCTTTTGAGAGGTTTTGCCATAGAGCACATGTGCTCGCCAGAAAGAGAGAGAGACAGAGAGACAGAAAGCGAGAAATTGCCCTGCCCCCCGGGGGGATGGTCACGCCACAATTCCTACTCCTCCATTCTTCTCTCAGGACCTTGGGCACCCACTCACATGTGCCTGGTGTGAGTTTAAGCTTCCAGGTCTGGGACTGGAACCGCAGTTGACTACATGGGAGTCCAGGGATATAGCCGTTACGCCAACTGCTGGTCCTGCAAATACCAAATCTTATTTATAACATCAAACTCTGCTGATGCTGTTAGAATTTTTTTGTCCCCCAAAACAGTATGGATCACATCTTCACTAAAAACTTCCTTATCAAAGAGGTAGTTGGAGTTTGAGAGCCTTCCTAGTTGCTATTAACTCATCACATAAAAGTATCAAGCTTTTGGCTCCCCATGAGTTCTGTGGTATACATTTTTTTCCTTTTTTGTTATGCTTCTCAGATATGAGGGGCTGTGAATCACTCGAAGAATTAACATGAACTCCTGAAGTTTTTGCCTTTGTTTTAAAATTTATGATCATCATTCTAAAGTAAATTGATACTTTACAGTTGGCTCTGAAAGAGGCCCAATCTAATATTCTTTTATAGAGACAATGTTTAAAGTGGGAAACTGGAAAAATAGTAAGAAAATATTGGAAATAAAATTTACCACCATGTTTTTAGACTCGAGCCACCACAGAGGTCGAATCTTGTTCTGTGGTTCAATTATTTTCCCCCTTATCTTACCCTTATCTATTATTAGTAAAAATGTGTGATCCTACAGATTGGACAGCAGCGATGTCCCAAAACTTGTAACTGATTTGCATGTTAGCTTGCTTGCTTTCTTTTTTTTTTTTTTAGGTTTTTACTTTAGGGTGAATGCATTCACCAGAAAGACAGAGAGACACACAGAGAGAGAAAGTGAAAAATAACCCCACAGGGAGGATGGACATGCCACAATTCCTTCTCCTCTCAGGATTTCAGGCATGCCTGCACATGTGCCTGGTGTGATTTTCAAGCCACAAGTCATCAGGCCCAGGACTTGAATTGTGGTCGACCATGTAAGAGTCTCAGCATCTTAACCACCATGCCACTTGCTGGTCTCTGCATGCTAGCTTTCACGTTACAAAGAGAGAAAAACTGGCAGCCCACAAAAGTAGAACTTTCAATGAAACTTAAGTGTAATTGAAATATTTAAAATTTTATGTTTGAGAAAGGTAAACCTGGAGACTGTGTCTCTTACAGGACACGTTATTACGCTTTTATGTTCCTATTAAAGTTATTCAGATTATCAATGAACCAACTTAACCTGTGTAAGTATTTTAAATAACATATTTTTCACATTAAAAATTTTACAATCCACCGTAGTACAGTAGTCCTTATTGCACAATATGGCTTTTCAAAGTATGCAAATAGTTCATGACAAGTTGTTTTCTCCTGTGAAAACAACCACAACATGGTTGAAATGTGACTAACTTTCAGTTTTTGTTTGTTTTTAATTTGCCAGAGGACACATGTGCTCGCCAGAGAGAGAGAGAAAGAAACAGAGACAGAAGAAAGAGAGAGAAAGAAAGCAACTCCCTCATTGGACATGTTCATGCTGCAATCCCTTCTCCTCCATTTCTCCCTCCTTTTGAGATTTTGGGCCTGCATGTACCTGCACCTGGTGTGTTTTTCAAGCCACTGGACTCAAACTGTGCCATTGACTGTGTGGGATCCATCCGCATAGCCAGTATTCCACCGGCTGGCCCAGCTTTCAGTTTTGTCGTTTACATTTTCTTTATCTTCTTTTGTTAAATGATTATACTGATGATGATCAAGTTTATAATTCTGTTAATCTCTCATCATCAATACAGCTTGCTCCTGAGACTAAGGCTGTCATTCATTGGATTATGGATATTCCTTTTGTGCTCTCTGCCAATCTCCATGGAGGAGACCTTGTGGCCAATTACCCATATGACGAAACCAGGAGTGGTAGGTATTGCACTTGCTTCCGTTGGCTCGAGGTTTACAAGGGTGTGTAGGGTGATATTTATAATGTTCTTTTGAGGCACTGATCATTAAGTGATTTTTTTTTCTTGGCCTGTGGAAATATACATGTTTAATAGGAGCATCCCCAACAGTAATATGGTATAGGCATATTGATTTAGTATTAAAGGACTGTAGCTTTTTCAACAGTTAAGATGAAGAGAAGTGTGGTCTTGATAGACGGCTTAGACAAAAGAAAGGGAGTCATAGATTGGGTCACTCTTGGATGACAGAAGTTACGTGCGTTTGTGTAGAAGATGACTTAAAAATAGAGGCAGAGTCTAGGTGCTTAAATCAGGGCCCATAAAAATTTCTACCTGTGCCTTATTGTGTTCCCATGTTTTTGCATTTGGAACTGTTTCTGGTTATGTCAAGGAGGGGAAGTGGTGCTTTGGTTTTCTCTAAGTTTAGTTAGGCTTTAGCAAGCTTAGTCTGATATTTGCAGCTTTAATTATTTATTGCTCCATGAAGTGTCCTACTTTGGATCTCTTCTCAAGGCTTTTGAAAGCATATTAACCCTTTGTAAACACAGAATAATAATGTTAGACATTGGAAACTGAGTTTGGTAGAAAGTCTTTGGTGAAACAATATTTTAAAATAAATTGAAGGATTTTGTGATTTGTCAATAACTGGGAAACTTACAGGCTGCAGTGGTTTATAATACAGGGATAAGAACATAGTATATCAAGATATTTATTATTCATTTTTGTATTATACATAGGGGCTTTAAAAAATCTAAAATCAGAAACTGAATAGCACATATCAGAGCAGTTCTCAGTGGCTATGAAGTTGGTATAGGTGTATTTCTTAAATTCAAAATTTTGACACTGGAAATCGTCTTCCCAGATCTAGTTTGCTATAACTTTATCAGCTTTTCTTGTGAAGCTTTCCATTCATAAGTAGAATGTCCGTTCTACTCAATTAATTTCTACTTTGTAATGTTAGGAATGGAAGTTACGTGATCTGAAAACTTGGTGTTATTGTTTAATATTTAAACCTTCAACCCTTTCGCATAGTGATAGAGCTAAAAAACGTATCTGCAAGAGCTCAACTCTGAATTTCTTTTCAGAAAATGTGTCTTGCTTCTTGGCCCGTGTCAGTTTCTTGAATCGTGTGGACTTATTTTCTAGGTAGTGCTCATGAATACAGCTCCTGCCCAGATGATGCCATTTTCCAAAGTTTGGCTCGGGCATATTCTTCTTTCAACCCAGCCATGTCCGACCCCAATCGGCCACCATGTCGCAAGAATGATGATGACAGCAGCTTTGTAGATGGAACAACCAATGGTGGTGCCTGGTACAGTGTTCCTGGTGGTGAGTTTCATTTTGCTCTATGATTATGTGAGAGTGGATTATTCCTAACTACCATTCGGATTAGAGAGTGATTCAGATTCAGAGAATCTTCAGTACTCTCCAATAATTAAGAATTAGAATGGCTCAGCTGTGGGGCATGGGTGATAAGAACACTGCTGCATGATGCTGAAGGCCACATGGGAAGGCTGAGGGTTAGTATCTGGAGTCGGCCTCTATACACTGGGTGTGCCCGAGGTCTGCCTATCATCCCTAGCTGGCTGTAGGGGTAGGAGAGGATCTCAGCATGAGGATACTGTAGAGGGTATTTATATCTTGTGAGGGAAATAAATAGAATGAGCCTATAGGTCTGCCATTAAAATTTGTTTTCTACGTGAGTGATTACCATACAGTTGTGCATTACTTAATATTGGGGATACATTTTGAGAAACATGTTGTTAGGTGGTTTTGTCATTGTGTGAATATCCTAGAGTGTATCTACACACGTGTAGAGAATATAGCCTGTTACATACCTAAGATACATGGTAGAGTTTAATGTAATATATTTTTAAAATGATTATTTAATTTTATTTATCATTATTATTAGTATTATTTAATTTGCTACAGGGCACATGTGCTCATGAGAAAGAGAGAGAGAAAGCTACTGGGTCTGGAACTTGAACTGCGGTTGGCCATGTGGGAGCCCAATGCCTTAATCACCATGCTACCTGCTGGCCATAGCTTGTTGTACTCTTTTTTTTTTTTTTTTTTTTTTTTTTTGAGAGGTTTTTGCTATAGGGCACGTGTGCTCGCCAGAAAGACAGAGAGAGACAGAGAGATAGAACGCGAGAAATCACCCTCCCCCCCGGGGCTATGGCCACGCCGCAATCCCTTATCCTCCATTCTCCTCTCGAGATCTTGGGCTCGCACGCACACATGCCCAGTGTGAGTTTAAGCTACCAGGTCTGGGACGTGAACCACGGTCGGCTACGTGGGAGTTCAGCAACATAGCCATTACGCTAACTGCTGGTCCCGCTTGTTGTACTCTTATTAGATTGCTTTTAGCATGTGCAGTCTGCCACTGATTGAAATGTCATTTGTGGCCCATGACTTCAAATATGTATTTTTTACATTTTTATAATTGAGATGCCAAGTTGAAGAGATAGAGAAAATGAACTGAAGACATTCTTTGGGAAAATATAAATAGAATATTATTAACTATTCTACTTTTATATGTGGGCCTTAGGGAGTAGTATTGTTATTACAGGTTTGTAATAATAAATAAGTATATATTTTTGGAAGGTATGTTTTGATATATAGGGTATCTTGGTGCATGCACTTTTTTGTTTGTATGTTTGTTTTGAAGTTGTGGGATAATGGTGGCTAGTCAATGGAATATTCAGTTTATATTCACATTCATTACTGTAGCAAGCACCATTAGATCAGTAACTTTTCACCTTTCATGGAATCTGAAAAAGAAGGTCACATGTAGAACAGCAGCTGGGGGAAGAACCTTCCTAGACAACCAAGGAAGCTCTCTGGGTTCCCTTTCTCCCAGTATGGAGTTTTCAGAGCTTTTATGTTACAACTGCTTACTAACCGGGGTGGCATAATACCTCTTACAAGGATGAGGAGTGACGTGTAAAGATACTGATATGCACCACACACATTTATGTTTTCTCTTTGCTTAAGTACAGTTTTCCATGTCCCAGCTGGAAATGAAAAAAGAGAATTAGAGTAATAACAGCAACATGTAACTATAGGGCTTTGATTTGATATGCTTAATTTTGTTGAATTATGTTCTGAGCAAAATATTCTTTTTATGATTTTTTCTTTCTGATATGTTTATTTTGTTTTCATTTATATTTTGCATTTGGGTAGATCAGGTTTTCCCTATAGTTTGAGAAATAAGGTTTGTGTTGTATGTGATATTTAGAGTATATTGAATTTATCAGATAGGGAGTAATTTTTAGAATTCATAACAGAAAGCGTGCATGCACTTGTGACAGAGACAGAGAGAAAGTCAGAGATATGAGCACCCTTACGAGGCTCTGGTCACACTGTGATCCCCTTCCCTCAGTCCTCCAGCCTATTGCACTGTAGGAACTTACACCCATCCCCAGCATGTTTTAAGCTGACCTGATTGAAGACTTCAACTGTGGTCACTTGAGCAGTGAATTACTGCGATGCCATGAAGTTAGCAGTAATTTTATATTTCAGTTTTTATGAAGGCTTCAGTAATTATTTTGGAATTACCTTTTTGGGCAAACGTATATTATTTTCAGAATATCAAGTAATCTGTACTAGGGAAATACTGATAGTATTTTCTTTTTTACTTTTTTATTTTAAATATTTTTTATTTCATTTTCTTTTTTACATTCAATCACATTATTTAGCTTACAAAGTGAATATTCCAACTTGTGAATATTTCTCCCTTGTCTAGTTAATAAAACTATAAAACTATCTTTAACACATAATACCACATTTCTTTGTCTCATTAATGCTTTGCCTCTCTATTTTCCTTTTAAATGTACTTTCTCAGACCCTACTCTTTCACACACTGTATCAGGTATTCACATCCATTTACTGTGTTTCTATATCCTTTAGTCAATCAATTTCTGTCATAGAGTGTGGACACTCGGTATATATTAAGTGGGGACATACAGTGTCTTGTCTTTCTTTTATAGCCTGGCTTGCTTCACTCAGCAGTAAATCTTCATATTCTTCCATTTTCTGTCAAAAGTCATGGTCTTGTTGTTTTTTATGGCTGAGTAGTATTCCATAGCATATATGTGCTACAGTTTTTCAATTCATTCATCTGTTCGTGGGCATTTGGGTTGGTTCCATGTCTTAGCAATTGTGAATAGTGCACAATAAACATCAATGTACAAGCACTTTTCTGATGAAGAATTCTTCTGTCCTTAGGGTAGGTACCAAGGACTGGGATTGCTGGATCATATGGTAGTTCTGTTTGTAGATATTTGAGGAATCCCCAAATTGTTCTCCACAGTGGCTGGACCAATTTACATTGAACAGCAGTATAAGAGAGTTCCCCTTTCACCACATCCTCACCAGCACTTGTCATTTTTTTTTTTCATCCTAGTCATTTTGACTGGTGTTAGGTGGTATCTCATTGTTGTTTTGATCTGCATTCCTTACAAATGAGGGCTGTTGAACATTTTTTTCATATGCCTTTTGGCTATTCATATGTTATCCTTAGAGAGTGTTTTTTTTAACTCATTCTCTCATCTTTTAATAGGGTTGATCATCTTTTTTTGGAATAGCTGTTTCAGTTCCTTCTGTATTCTGGTTATCGGCCCCTTATCTGATGCATAGTTTACAAAAATATTTTCCCATTCTAAGGCCTGTCAATTCACACTAATTATTGTATCTTTTGACATGGAAAAACTTCTTAGTCTGATAATAATATTAATGACAACAATAAATTAATCTAGTCAGTGGTTTTGTCCTACAATAACCAGAGTCAAAGAAAGCTTTGATAGTCTTTAGTTTTCTAGACAGTGAATAAAATTAGTGTCATAGGTCAGGTTTTCTAGAAGCAGACTTGAGATAGGAAGTTATATCTCATAATTTAATTGAAGGAAAAATCCTGTATGGATGTGAGGAAAAATTTTACTTAGGAAACTTAAAAAGTTTTAATGAGGAACTTTTAGGAAAATTTTAATTAGGAAAAATCCTGTATGTATGTGAGGGAAGCTGAGTAAGTAAGGGGATAGGGCTGAAGAACAGCGTGGGCTCACGTAAGGTCTAGCCTTGGTTGGAGCATTGGGAGAAGGGACTGGAACATACAACTGGCAGGTTGTCTTCCCTTGAGAGAAAGGAACCAAACTTCAGTGGCTTCATGTTAGTCAGTCATTGACTGTGGCTGCCATGGAGAGGTTGAGGGTGAGAGATGGGAGTGTGCAGCCCCTCCCCCCCAGAGATTCTCCAGGAAAAGGGGGCGGGCACCATTGTTACATAAAAGGCTCTTTATGGGCAACAAGATCATGCACTACTAATTTATACCAGGTTCAAATTACTATTGTTCTGGATGCAGAATTTTCTCTTTGGTGCAAGGTAAAGTGTTATTACCATTATGTCTTATATATAGTACATACTCAGTGATTATTGAATTAACATACAGTATATGATCAAGACTCTTGAGGGGTTACCTCAAAAGTACACAATGGACTTAGAAGAAAATTAGTCTGTTAGATAATGTCGCATGACTCCATAGGTTCTTCCCACATAGAAAGGCAGGCATAGGGGAATGCACACACTATAAAAAAGAATCAAATGGACCAGTAGAGATGAAGGTTATAATACAGGAAGTCAAAACCTCCCTTGAAAGTATTAAAAGCAGATTAGATCATACAGAAAATCAAATCTCAGATGTAGAAGATAGAATCATTGGCCTTGAAAAATCCACCATGAAGACTGAGAAAATTGCCCCCCAAAATAAGAATAATATACGCAAAGTACTAGATATTATCAAACATCCAAACATCTGGATAATTTGTATCCCAGAAGGCAAAGTGACTCACAAGGGCATTGATAATCTATTCTATGAAATCCTGGAAAAAACTTTCCAAACCTAGAGAGACATTCAAAGATCCAGAACCAAGTGATACAAAGGACCCCAAATAGAATCAACCCAGAAAGATCTTCAAGACACATTATAGCCAGACTGATCAAAACCACAAAGACAAAGACAAGATACTAAGATTGGCAAGAGAGAAATGTCAAGTTACCTACAAAGGTCTAGCTAACAGGGGACCTCTAATTGGAAACAATGCGAGCAAGGAAAGAATGGGAAAATATATTCAAAGTGTTGAGGGAAAAGCAATTTCAACCAAGAATACTATACCCGGCAAGATTATCCTCCATATGGGAAGAAAAGACAAGAACATTCTCAGATAAACAAAACCTGAATTTATCAACACCAGACCAGATCTCTAAGAAGTTCTGAAGGGAGTACTATTCTAGGAAAATTAAATACAGGCACACAGAAATAAGAGTTCAAAAACTAATAAAATGGACAACTTAATCATAGGGACAGGTCTGGAGTTGAATATTATATCCCAGTATTTAATCAGAAAAATGGAACCACAGCAGAAGATAAATTAAGTACATGAGACTAAACTGGTAAAATAGAACTTTATGACTTTTGACTAAAACATTGCTGATTTTCTTCTAGGCTTTGTTTTCTGGATTTAAGGACTTTTGTTCTGTCTTGAGCTGCTGATAGGTTCATGTACCTACTATTTGAACAAAATCCTAACCCGTTTCTTGGCTTTAAGTGTTAAGCAAAGTTCCTTAGCATTTCTTTGATTTATTAAAGCTAAAACTGCCTTTCTTGAAATTAAAAATATATTAAAAATACCTATAAAATGACTGTAGTAAGCTATATAGGATCAGCTAGGTGTTACTTTAGAGTATATTCATTCTACCCAGAGATTCATGCCTAAAGTCAGACATGTATCACAGATATGTATATACCAGCTGAACTTGCTATTGAAAGTAGTTAGATTATTTAAGAAATTTTGTGAATCAATAAAATGTGGGGGGAAAAAAGAATGGAAAACAACTGTAGACACTTGAGATAGTGTGGGAGGAGTGTGGAAAATACACTAGAAATGGAAAATTATTGACGATAACATGTATGATTAAGCCACTGTGCAATATATTCTGGATGGGAAATTACATTTTGTATGCTGTGATGATGCTCAGTGAATGAATGTAAATTAATTAATTAATTAATTAAAAAAAGAGAAGACTCTTCTAGCAATGGTGAGTGTGGATGATGTCTGCTTTAGTGTTCCACAGCAATGTGTGAAGCTGGATGATTGCTTAAGTATCTGAGATTTTGTGCTTTTAAGGTAGGAACACCCTCCCAACGAGTGTTTGATCCCTTACAGCAGGTGATTTCCCTTTCAGTTTCCCACAGGTTCCCAAATACCCTGGTTGGTGTATCTTTTATTTGGCT